TAAAAAAAACTTAACAGTCAAGTGGTTAAATGAGAAGAAAAAACTTTTCCTTGCTACGTGTTTTCATGCTGTTTTCTCGAGTATGTGTTTTTCTACAAGTTTTCTCACTTGACACAAACTTATTTATGCTCATAGACAGAGGATTCTTCAAAGTATATTCAGATATATCTTAATCTTGAAAAAGCTCACTTTTAGTTTTTCACCTAATGTCACGCTCATTGCCAACTTTGTCATGTATTGTTGAATTAATAAGGAAAAGAAGAAGAAAATTAATAGAAACATGACGATGGCTATTTGTTGAAAGTAATTACCATAGTTAGTAAAAACAGAAACCTGATAAGATTAACGTTTAGTTAGAGAATATCTCGCAAGACACCTTCTGTAAAAATGGTGTTTTTGGAAAACCATTTTCTTTTTTGTAAACCAGAGTGGAAGGTTAATATTAATATTAAGTGAGTTTATTTTTTCAAAATTAGAATTTTCTTCGGCAGTGTGGTCAGTGAAAGTCTTTTATATTCTCGCGGGAGAAAAATAAATTCGAGAATGAACATACACAAAATATTGCAGGTGATTAAGGCAGAAAAATGTGCAGATCAAATCAAGAGAAAATCAAGAAAAAAATTTGAAATAAGTTTTTGGTTATGAGCTGGTTGGTGATTCATAGAAAATGAATTTTTTATTTAAAACATAAAAAATATCGAAAGAATTTTGATCATTGACGCTAAATACTGCTTTTTTGAATCGAAGAATACGTTGCTCGGCAACTGCGATTCATTAAAAATTTCTGTTTGGCGTTGTTGAAAACTAATCGACGAACAAAACTGAAAGAACAAATTATCAGTACTGATTAAATCGAAATCAAGTTGCTTGCGACTGCAGATAATAGCACAATGGTTATATGATGGTGATATATAAATTAGGTAGGGGGTCAATTTCTGTTTTAAATATCATCACTAAGTTAAAATATTCAATGGAGAAGTATGAACCAGTTTGCATTTTTTCTTTATAATAAATTTATTTTTTTTTGTTATTACTGTCATGTTAGAAAGAGTTTCATAAATAGAATGGAATTATCCTTATCTGGTTTTAGATCAGTACTTTTCAATGAATTTATTATTAATAATATAATCTCGATATCTATACCACAGGTTTATACCAATAAACATAATTTATTTTTTACAGATCATGAGCATCCACAATATCATTATTTTGGTTGTCTCTACGAAATTGACCCTCAATCGAAGATGGGATCAGTTTTTATACCTTATCGTATTCGCTCATTATCATTATCACCACCTATTACAACCTGCCAAAATAATGGGCAAAAATATACATTTGAACAATCGAAACTCAATAACATAACATGTAACAATTTATATGAATGGAATGTACCAATTGATATTATTGATGAGTATGGAAAATATTTAAATTATAATTCCACATCATCATTAAGTTATTGCAATTGTACACGAGAATGGTTTGGACAATTTTGTCAATATTCCTTCCAAGATGATTGGGATGAGCCCTTTACGGATATTATTGACCGTCGTTTTTTCGAACGATATAATATTGAGAACGATGTTCCAATTCATAAAGATCTAACGTGTTATATGGGATTAAAATGTGTCGGACAAAGATTATGTCTTGATTGGAGGCAAATATGTAATAGTATTGTTGATTGTGATAACGGTGAAGATGAACTTGATTGTTTACAATTAGAAATAAATGAATGTGATAATAAAACAGAATATCGTTGTAAATCAGGTATGTGTATTGAGAAAACATTTGCATTTGATTTGAAAAAAGATTGTCAAGATGACAGTGATGAAGAAATAAAAGAGTCTTATGACAACTGTCACTCTGGTACATCAGTTGACTGTGAAGAACGTAATTGTGCATGGATGTCTAATTCATGCGGAGATGGTACATGCAATGAAGAATGTGAGAATAGACGTGACACATATTACGAAGAAAGTTTATTTAATTCAAATAAAAATTTAAGTGACGAAGATAATCACACAATATTCTGTCGTAGTTGCCTTATATATCAATTTGATAAGAGAAAACCAATTTCCAGTTCCGGTAACACTAAGTGTCATAAACAATGTAATTTATGCGAGAATATCTTTTTGTATCCAGCACCATTTATGCATCCATCTGTAAATTTTCTATATAAGTCAACAGAAGATCAATTTCCATCCTATTTATGTTACAATGTAAGCCAATGTCAAATATTTTCATCATTTAAAATATCTTTTCATAATAATCGGACTTGTCAACAAATAAGTCATTTTTTTTGATTAAATACAAGTGGTACTTATAAAAGATTTTTATACGATGTTCAATTAACATTTTCATCTTGTTTTAATTACAATACTAAATTAAAATTAAATTATAGTAAACTATTATTTTATTGTTCTAATACATCGAAGTATATGTCAAACTATCGTGTTAAAGATAATTTTGAAGATTGTCTATTTTCTTCGGATGAAAAATTCTATTCAAGTAGAAATGTTTGTCAATCAAATTTAAATAATCGATTTAAATGTTTGACAACATCAGATTGTATTGAACGTCGAACAATGTTAAGTGATGATAAAAATATTCAACAATGTACAGATAAATCAAATCAATTATATTCATTCTCATGTAAACATGAAAATGATTTAGGTTGTCAATTTCTTCAGAATACACTTGTTCTTGTTGAGTATTATTTTTTATTTGAAGAACTATGTAATAGTGTTGTAAATATAAATTTAATTGATGTAACAACAAACGAAACAGACGAAACGAATTGTGATGAATATAAACAGTTTTGTAAAGAGAGGAGAGGAGTTTTTTGTGAAAATACCGGTCGAAGATATGAAATCGATTATGATTTATCATTTAAAAATTTAGATTATTATACTAAATATTGCCGAAATAAATATCCAAAGGATAATATAATGATATACCGTTGTTCAAATAGTACTGAAAGCATTTGCGTTCAATTATCTGATTTATGTAATTATGAGTGTAGTTGTCCAAATAGCGAGAATGAAATGTTTTGTCCTAATCGTTCGACAACAACTTGTATTCTTAAAAAATTCAATTGTGCTGTCCATAGAGACTGTGGGTCTCGCGATCGTAATCAAGTTCCTGATTATGAGATACGTAATTTGTATGGAGAAGGATATGAATATCAACGATATTGTGGATTATTTTTAAAATTTATTCCCTATAGAGGATTTAGCTTTGAAGAGCATCAATATCCACCACGTGGTATACTATATCACCAACAAAATCAGCTGTCACTAACATTATCATCATCATTTATATCAACGTTTCATCAACATCGATCAGACACTTCCAGTTCAAGAATATCTATGCTGTACTATTGTAATCGAGGTATTTTTGTTTTTGGTGTTAATGAAACTCAAATTTGTCTTTGTCCGCCTTCTTATTATGGTGATAAATGTCAATATCAAAGTGAACGTTTATCAGTTTATTTAGGAGTTGAAACAACAATAAAATATGATACGAATATTTATAAATTACTTATTCGCCTTCAAACATCAACAAATATGTTTTATGATTATATAGATTTTATAATTTTCAATTATTATAAATCAGACAGACATATTGTTTATTTACTTACACCAAATCTTTATGAATCTTACTCTGTTGTCATTGATATATTTCAATTAACAACAACAATAGTCGAATATCATTCATCATTTTATTATGATATTCCATTTCCATTTTTACCTGTTCGTCGTTTAGCTACAAAAATAATAATCAAAGATGAAAAATCTTCTAATACGTGTGTTAATAAATGTTCATTACATGGTCGCTGTTTGTTTTATGAAAATAATAAAAATCAATTTTGTTTTTGTAATGAAGGTTGGACTGGTGAATTGTGTGATAAAAAATTAAATGTCAGTTGGGGTTCGCTATGTCAAAATGTAAAGAAATATAAAGAAATATTTGTTGGTATTAAAGATGAATGGAATAATAGAATAATAAATAAAATTCCATTAATGCTTGTTTATTTTGCAAGTAATGAAAAGTTGATTGTTTCAATTACTGTTGATGAATGGTATCTCTATAAAGACGTTCATTTAAATATGCTTAAGAAAGTTACATATAAGAGTGTGCCAAAGTTTGTATTTGTTCAAACCTACTTTGATACACAATATGATACATTTTATGGTAGTTATTATTTAGTTGCCTACCTACCTTCTGATTTGCCTAAGTCACTAACGACAAATATACTTGGATCTAATCGTTGTCCTTACGTTGGTGAATTACTAAAAAATAAAACAATCATGTCTTATCCTTATTTAAAACGTATTAAATTTTATTATCGACCTTGTCTTGTTTTGGGTACACATTGTTTTTATGATGAACGATACATGTGTTTATGTAATAATGAAGCATTTTTTGATTGTTTCTATTTCAATCATTCTGCAAGTAATTGTACACATTTAAAATATTGTTTAAATGGTGGTTATTGTCTACAAGCAACAAAAGAAAAAGATTTTGGCTGTGTTTGTCCTAAATGCTATTTTAGATCATTCACATATTATGTCATTATAAAGAGAAAGCACAAGCAAAAGTTGCCACGGCATCACGAATGAGAAATCCGATAGTTATTTGATTAGTTGAAACAGAGTTTTCCGGTAAAAATTAGAATAAAATTGTATTTTTTCTTTGTATAATCCGTACCATTAAGTTCTGATGGTTTTTTCTGCTAAAGATGCTTTAAGCATGTTTAAGTGTGACATCCGATACATTTATTACCTTTCATCTACTTTGAGATGTAAGATAAAGGTATAATGGGCATTTTTCACTAGGCAAATCTGCAGTTTTCGAGAAAATTCAGAATTGCACCCGTTTACATTTGCTCTAATGTTTTGAAAGTAATTTGTCAGTTGAACTCAGCATCAAAAAAGGAGTAAGTCCACGTACATTTGGAATATTTCATCGTTATTGCCTTTTTCAGCCAGCTGAACTAGCCTCGTGCAATGACACATCAACACCTTGATCTGGCAAAACTATGACGCTTGCCTGAAGGCTTTTTTTCAATTACCATACACCGTTCGAATCGTTAAGTGAAGGGCTAAAAAGTTATGTTGTGGCTCTGCAAAATTGGGTTGTTATGATATTTTCATTGCGGTGAGTATTTTCGTTTCATAGTTGAGTTCTGGTGGAAAAAATTGCGAAGTAGGGTCAGAATTCCGGTTTTTCACAGTAAAGTAGACTTTTCTCAGCGAGGGAACAAAAAACCTTCATGTCTTGTTATTGTCTGTGAGTTGACAATTCGAATGATATATGAAAGTTGGGAAAATCTCTTGCTCTAAATTTTCATTTTTAAAGGAAGAACTTGTTTTTCAAGATTTCTCAACCAAAACGTGGTTTGAACAAATTAGAACAAGCTATCCGAAATCTTCTCGTCGAGTTCTATCCAACCATTTATCGTACGACAAAATCAAAATTCTGTTTCTCGTTTCAATATTCGGCACCTCACTAGAATTTACTCATTTTGACAGTATTTTAATATTTCTTGTAGAAAAAAGACGTTTCTAAACATTTCTGAGATAGATTTCAAAAAGCAAGTTATCTTGGATTAATCTGGTCGATTTTTTGAAAGAGGTTGTTTATCAATACTACCACGTTTACTCATTATTATCAGGATTGCGCTTTCACTAGTAAATTACATTTTTCTTCATTATAAAAAAACATGTTTTTGAAACAGCACTAACATATTCGGAGTCAGCATAAAAACCTACATCTACTATCGGCGCCAGAAGTCACGACCCACAGATAAGTATCCAGTAGGATTACAGGCACGGGCAAAAAAATCTTGCCCGTGCAGATCTCTATTCTTCAGTCTAACTGACCCAGACGTTTTCACAAGATACCTCTAGAAACTGACATCCATGACACCACCACAAAAATTCTATAAGCCATTGAATTCTAAATTCTTGTCAACAGGATTCGCTGCTAGTTATTTTTAAAAGAAGGTGGACAAGTCAGACATGTTTCTGTCCCACAATATTTTTCTAATAAACAATTCCATATAGGGGATAAAATTGCAACTCTAGATGGTAAAGAAAGATTTGTGATTTTTGTCTGAGCGACAGTACCACAGAAAAATGGAAGAAAAAAACATTTACCAAGGTTTTTGCAAAGGACACTTTGAACTATGTGTCTACAAAAGAAATCAATAGATCACTATGTTAATTTTCAGAAATCCGAAGGGGTTTTCAAAGATCTTCTTAAAAAACACTCTTCAGAACTATACTAAAGCAAATTTTTGCTTATAAAAAGATGTGTAAAGGTCTTGGCTATCGAACATTGAAAACCGCAGGCCTCTGTCTCGTTTCCATCGAAAATTATTTAAAAAACATCAGTTGGTATCTGATGGAAAGAAGTGTAAGAGCGGATATTCAGCTCAAAAGAATTTTTCTCTGATTTTGAAATGATTACCTTAATACCAGTTGACAGATGAAAAGTGTTTTTCATGTAACAGCAAAGGGGAGGAATAGTTAAAAAAGCTGTAATATGTGAAAAACCCCCTATGGAAGTATATGCCAGTTTACAGTAACAAAATATTTAGTATCATTAGATGCTTTATTAGGTCAAGATATCGTTCCAGACAGAAGTATTTCTAGACAAACAAATATAATCAAACTAAATTTGGCTCTAGTCGTTTTGATGATTATATTTGGTTTTGTTGGTAATGTATTATCGATTATAACATTTAGTCGACCAAAAACACGTGAAATGGGATGTGATTACCATTGTAATCAGCGAGAAAATGGTGAAAAATCGTCGGAAAAAATAGTTTTTTCTAATATTCTCGTAATACACATGGAACTGGAACCTAATATTTTGTCGTTTTACTCGCCATCAAATTCAACGTTTGTGGTGAAAAACGAAAAACTAGGTCATTTTTTATTCTAGAGATAACACGTCATCTTTTTTTCTTTTATTAGCCATCTTTCCCTATTACCCTGACGGTCTTAAAGGGACACTTTAACTTCAGGACATTAGCCGTCGAAAAATGGAAAGCTTGCAGCACGATAAGAAAGAAAAGAAAAAGAAAATCAATAGGAACTTCGAGCACAGCTTGTATAACAAAAAACTAGAAGCCACCGAGATAGTTAGAGTAAAAGAGGATGCTACCGAGGTAGACGACTAGTTGACTAAAACGTTTCTGGAAATCGTGCGAAATATAAAACCTCGTCTTCATTAAGCTGTACTACCGAATCGGAGGTTCCCTGAATCGACATCCACCTACGTGCTTCGTTCACGACGTCTACAGGCGGAACATATCGTTTCTTCTCTAATTCTAATAGATTTGAGGGGCAGATGCTGCTGACCTAAATCGACTAAACCAGATACAGTATCAAGCGTGCTTAGCAGTTTCTGGAGCTATGCGAGGAGCATCACATGAAAAAATATTGTACGACTCGGGATGGCTAGCAATCCAGGACCTTATTTACGTTCGTAGATTGTGTTTGTTTCACAAAATAATGCATGGAAAAACAGCTAGTTATCCAAAGGAGCTAATACGAGTGAATACGCAGTTGACCTATGCCATTCGCAGCGTTAGTTGCAACATGATCCCAGTCATTCCACGAGGTAGACAGTTCGTAGATAGATTATTTATCAGGCAAGCATGCGCTTCTTGGAATCTTCTACAGGATGACATCAAGTATACTCATCGAGCTGATACTTTTAAATTTAAATTGACGGCTAGCTTTATTTCTGCGTTTAAACTACCACTAGCCTCTGAGCGTCGACTTGAAATTCACCATCTCCGTCTTCGGGTTGATTTTCATCAGCTGAATGAGCCTTTATATCACCGTAAACTCGCCCCATCACCACTTTGTTCTTGGAAAGGAAAGCACTACTCATTATTTTTTACTCTGCTTACATTACTACCAGCAGAGGAACGAGCTTTTCGAAAAACGCAAAGTGCTGTTGAACTGTGATAAAATTCAAATTGGAACGCGTTTGCGTTAGTACACACAAAAAACGAATACTTTTTCGGCGTGGATTTAACACCGGGTATCATGATTTCGGCTGTATTTGGAATAACTTTTTAACGAAACAATCTATCGCATGGCTATTTCTGCCAGTACAAAAAGAAGACAATTTTGTCATAAAACTATGAGTTATTCAAAGTCGTTTCACTGGTTAAAATCGGTTAACTTATCGTTTCGCATTTCTAAAAATGTGAAAACAAAAAAGAGTCTTCTTTCAAAAAGGAATCGACGCAGGTCGATGGCTCGTTTCGCGAAAAGGTTACTGGAAAAACTAACCGAGTGCATTGTAGGTAAAAAATAGTAATACTGTGTTTTTCCTGTTAATAACAGAATATGCAGCAAAGGCTATCTGTGAAGGACTAAGCCGCGCCGCGTCATAGTCAGCGCAAAAATCCGAAAAGTGATTTGAATAAACAGATAATTTACTACCCATACATTCATTCAATAAACTATTCAGACAAAAATTTGGATCGATTCTGTTCACCGTATTAAAAGTCGATTTCGCGACAATGAGCGCGATATTCTGATAAATAATATTTCTCTTAGTCAATTGCAATTCGATCAAATTGATGTTTGGTTTATTCGATCGACTAGAGACTAGACAATATTTTAGACGGGAGTTTTGTCCGAGTTGATTTATGGTACGGTTAAACATTAAACACAAATTCTCAATACCTAACACTAAAAGAAAAATTTCATTTACAATTGATTGTGTTCTGATGAGTTCAACGGGCTTAAATGACCATAATCTCAAAATCATATGGGAGAGAAGGAATATTAGAGCTATAAAATGAGGTTTTTTTTAACTATTTATCTCTCACACTCAATTAATAACGATTTGTTGTTTAAACAACAGACAACATTTTGTGGTTCACGCTCATCACCAAAAACAATAAATAATACATTACACTGCATGATCATTGTGTACTCGACTACACCGTATGCTTCAAAAACGTTACTGTTGCTAGCAACCCCTTGGACTGATCATCTTGTAGTAATTTTCACGTTATGCACTACGCAATCTTCAGAGGGGGCGAAACCATGGGGCCGTGAGTGTTTTGACACACAAATCTTGAAAATTTTCGTTTTCTTCCAGCAGAAACTTACTTTTTTTTCGTTCTTACCCTTGACCATTGCCGGTAAACTTAAGTAGTACTAGTAATTAGCAGTACTCTCCAATGTTTTTATATACCGAACCAATGTTGTTGTAGGACTGCGCGATATCTGGATGATTTGGAGGAAGAGTTTTTTGATAAATTTCAAGTGATTTTTCGTAAAACGAAACTGCTTTTCAGAACTCCACCATGTTGTCATACACTAAACCGATGTTGTTGTAGACAGTACCCAAGGAGGGATGATTTGAAGGAAGAGTGTCCTCAAGGATTTGACGTGCTTTCTCGCAAAACGAAAGTGCTTTTGAGTGCTGTCCCATTTTGCGATATACTTCACCGATGTTGTTGTAGGCAGTGGCCAAAGATGGCTGATTCGGAGCAAGGGTTTTTTCCTTGATTTCAAGTGATTTTTCATAAAAAGAGCGTGCTTTCGAATACTCTCCCATGTTTCTGAACACCTCACCGATGTTG